GACCCTGATACCTGGTCTCCATCTCTTTCATGTCCTGATGGAATCTCTCCCCCTGCTCGTCACTCATTGAACCCAGTTGCTCAGGAAACTGGTCCATATGTGAAAATAGGTAGTGCATCTTGACGCTCATGTTGCAGCCCATGTTTCTGAAAGCAGTCAGCATGCTGCTGTCAATGAACAGTCTCCAATCTTTGGGTTGGTACTGTGGCACTCCAAGCTTGAGCAGAAGCTGCGCAATATCTGCACAGTACACCATGTCTTTCTCTTCCGAGAAAAAACGGAGGTACTCTTGATGCCTGTTGCGGAAGAAGCTGATGCAAGCACTGTGAGAGAGGAGGTTTTTTCCCTTCAATCTGGATGGCAACAGTTCGGCAGAGTCCTTTACAAGCTGAGGTTGCAAACTAGATCATTCAACTCCTTTTGGGAAAATGGATGTGGAGCATCATCTTCAAGAACCACTTCTTCTTCTTCATGTCCTTCAACACTGGAGGTATCTTCGTCACTAATGTCAGGAAGATCTCCGAAGATAGGCACTGGAATTTCATCACAATGAGCTACAGGACGATGTGCTGATTGAAGATCAGGATACTTGAGGCTGCTCCAGTTCTTTCTGTTGATCCCAGCCGCACCAATTTATGGAAGATTTCGAGGTTTTATGACTTCAAACTGATCCCTTTTCCAAATAATCACCCAGAACTATCGGACCTGAATACTTATTGTCATTAAAATAATCATTTCCAATCAAAACAATTATTCGACATGGCATTTTACCCCCACCAACTTCTTCTAAAATGCTCCACACAAGCGTACATGTGAACAAAAACATAAAAAAGACATGTGGCCATAGCTCAAAAACTTGACCTGATTGAGCAAAACCAATGTGATTTTTGGATTCAGCGCATAAGATTCGTCCTAAATCAACTAAAAAAACGCAGACAACAAATTTGTTGTTGACCAGTGAATTATCAAATGCTTTCTCTGCATCTAGAAAAACCATGGGTAATTGCTAATCATTTCTTTTTTCAAAATATTCAGTAGCATTTAATGCAATTGCAACATTATCTTTTAACTGCCTCATCGGCAGAAATGCTGTCTGGTCTTCATGTATTAAGTTTCCTAACACTTGTTTGAGTCTTCTTGCTAATATTGCCGCAAACCATTTATAATTACAATTAAGCAAAGTAATAGGTCTATAATTATTGACTTGGGCTGGGTCATGATCTTGTTTTGCTATCAATGTGATATTGGCATACTAATAATAATACTAATTTTATTATTTGTATCCCACCCATCTGGTTGGTTTTACCCAGCCACTCTGGGTGGCTTACAGCATATATAAGCATAATAAAACATCAAACATTAACAAACAGAATATCTTATACAGACTAAAATAAACCTATAAATCAATATAAAATAATAATAATAATAATAATAATAATAATAATAATAATAATAATAATAATAATACCCAAATTAAAATAGCTGCCAATCCCAACAAAACAATTAACCAACCCCAACCCAACAAAAACAAAACAGGGGAACTAAAATTAAAGATTTTAAAACTTTTTAGCCAGTTGCCATATCCCAAGAGTTGTTCCAGCAATGCCCCTCTGGCCTCCCAGCATCCCCTTTTAGCTGTTCAATGTGAGTCTGGGCCCTGCCCCCTAGGCCAAGGGGAAATGGGCCTTTCAGCAGGGAATGGTCTTACAAGTACCAGGTATCTCACCCTGTGTCAAAGTACTGGTCATGATCATTTCTAAAGGCTGGATTAGACGGTCTCAAAATACTTTTTTAAGTATTAAAAAATTGCAAGTGGAAAAACATCTAATGCTAATTATGCATGCTAAATGTTTTGTTTTAAACAGGCAGGAATTCTGGAAAAAATGGGCATCTGCTATAGATATTCCATAATCAGGGCCATGTGCCTATTCATTCCGATAATGAAGGACTCCAAACTGATCATAAAGGACCTGGTTTTTGATGGGGTGCCTGTGAGGCTGTACTGGCCCAAGACATCACCTGCTGGGAACAGGAAAGGAATCATCTTCATGGAGGTGCTGCGGTGGCTGGAAGCATTCGTAAGTTCTGTGAAATGTGTTTGAAATGGTAGAACCTCTATTTACCACCGCCACCACTCGCAGACATTCTAAGTTGCGACCATGGCAAACCCGGAAGTAACTGGCGGGTTTGCTGCCGCTCGTGCCTGCACAGAAGCGGGCAATTGTCGCTCGTGCCTGCCCACAATGGCGCTTCTCCCAGCGACCCGTTTCGCCATAAGGACGGTGTGGCGATCCCACATGGCCCCCGGACGTTTCACGGTCTATTGACCCTGTGCCACCACTGTGGTTGCTTTCTTCGCTGCCACCACCCCGCTTCTCACGGGGACACAGGGAGTCCAGACAGTTGTTAACATAAACAAATAATCAAGTTTATTTTTAAGAGCAGGAACAAGCATATGCTTGTAGTTTATTTTTCTCTGGTCAGTTTCCTAATCTTAGTTCCTACAACTTCAAACTGAATTATTCCCAACTATCTATCTAACTCCCTAACAATTCCTCTCACTCTCTCACAATACAACTCAACCAACCCACTCCTAATCCACCCTCTTCCTTCTCCCACACCCAAGCCTCAACTCCCAACTGACAAACCTCAACCGTCAACGCCCAAACCTCAACCGTCAACCCCCAGACCTCAACTGACTTTTCAAAACCTCCCACTCTATCTTTTACTCCCCCCTCGCATTCTCACTGGCCAATCACCTCACACCCATTTTAACCCTTTCCTTGACACATCCTAGGGGGCAAACGCCACATTCCTCCCCCTTAAGAAGATTGACTCAGGAGGGATAACTTAACCTAGTTATTCTCCTGATCAATCAGCAGTACATTTTTATGGCAAATAAACATTTCCTAACCTGTCATTTCACCCTTCACATCACATCTAACATTTGCACATCAAATTCTGTGTTCTGGTAAAATATACATATATACAAATACCTGTTACATGTTAGGTATTCCGTTAACTTTCAACTGCAGGTCTTCTGGACAAGGCATCTGTGACGGTATTCAGGGTCCCTTTCACATTTTTAATCGTAAAATTAAAGTCTTGCAGTGATAGGGCCCACCTCAACAACTTACTGTTGGTCTTCATTGTCCTCAACCACAACAAGGGTGAATGGTCAGTACATAAAGTAAAAGTTCGGCCCCAGATGTACGGCTTCAGCTTCTGTAGTGCCCATACAATGGCAAGGCATTCCTTCTCGATGGTCGAATATTGTCTTTCCGTTGGTAGTAGGTTCTTGCTTATGAAGGTGATGGGATGCAGGTCGTCTTTCTCTCCCTGTTGGCACAGCACAGCCCCGATCCCGGCATTAGATGCATCAGTGAAGATGGTGAGCTCACGATCATAATCAGGAGCAACAAGGACTGGATTTGATGTCAAGGCGCTTTTTAAGGCATCAAACGCCTGCTGACATGCTGCTGTCCAGTTTCTTAATCTATTCAGGATTTTGTCCACCAATCGCTGAAAAGTTGCTGGCGCATTCTTTAAGCCAAAGGGCATTATTTTAAATTCAAACAACCCTAAAGGACTTCTGAACGTAGTTTTCTCCTGGTCCTTAGGGTCCATTTCTACTTGATAGTACCCCTTTGTTAAGTCTAGGCAGGTGATGTAATGACACTGGCCTATAGCTTTGTTCAGGTCATCTAAACGTGGCATTGGATATGCATCCGCTTTAGTGACATGGTTCAGCTTCCTATAATCTAGGCAAAATCTAATAGCTCCATCAGGTTTGTCTAATAACACTATGGGTGCTGCCCGGGGACTTTCCGAAGTGGTTATAATCCCTGCCTTCAGCATTGCCCTTATCTCATTGCTAACTTTCCCCACATACTCTCCAGTTATTCAAAAGATCGAGGAAATACCCATTGACGGTTATATCAGCCCCGACATGGGAACAATTTCTAAGAAAATATTTCTCCCAGACAGACATCTCTAACATTCAATCTGATACTCTTTCAAGCCACTTGCCCATTTGGCCAGATACTGACCCGGAGGAAATAGTAGATTTAATTGCTAAACTGAAAACTGATAAAGCCCCAGGGCCCGATCTGATCCCGGCGGAAGCTATTAAACAACACCCAACATGGTGGGCTAAAATTCTTGCAAAAATCTTTGATGCAATCAATGCCACGGGCCAGATACCTAGATCATGGAAGGAGTCCATCATAATTCCTATATATAAAAAAGGACCACCAGAGGACCCAGGAAACTATCGTAACATCTCCAGTTATTCTATATGGGTTGACAGCAATTGGCTTAGCATCTCCAGTGTCGATATGATGTACAACTCCCATGTGTGCACCAACAATGCTATTATGGGCTTGTTGCAAAATCTTTCCTCTATAGGTATGAGGGATTACTAACTGTCTTTTCACTTCTTCACCCCCCCCCCTGCATGGTGGGTCAAGGACTTCTTGATATAAAAGGCCCTTGCTCAAACAAAACCATTCTGGGCACTTAGGAGTTAACGACCTCTCCGACTCTGCTGCCTCAAAGTACTTTTGTAACTCAGTATCTTCTTTTTGCTTTTTGGCAAAACTTTAGGTTTGACTTTTAGTCAAAGGAAATAAAAAGGTGTCTTTTCTTTCCTCACACTGATCATTCCCTTGCTGTCCTTCAGCATTGTCTGCCTCTGCTACTGTATCCACCCCCTCAGGATTAGGTGACTGTGGACTCCGTTTTGCTCTGGTAACTATTAAAGTACTCTGCACATGTTCTAAAATGTCCCAACCAATGAGCACAGGGGCGGGAATTTCTTCCGACAGGGCTACCTGCCACTTCCCTGCCCAGTTTTTGAATCTGACATCTATTTCCGCCACCTTTAGGATTTCTGCTTGTTTCGAAATTCCTTTTAATTTCATTACTTTTCCTGGAATTATGACATCATCCCTGATTATATCTGGGTGGACTATGGTGACTTGAGATCCCGTGTCCTTTAACCCGAGATATCTTTTTCCGTCTATCCAGATATACTCTCCAGCATTCTTTAACAAGAGATTATCTTGTTGAATCACATAACAGTGCAGGACTTTGGCCTCTGCTACCTCAGCAGGCTCAGGCCTAGTTGGCATGTCTGTTTCCTTGACAACCTGGCTAGTTGGGCTCTGCTCCACAGACTGGATACAATATGTCTGTTTCTGTGTGGTACTATAACTAGATGTTTCTTTTCCTGTTTTACAATCAAAACGTTTATGACCTAATTTCCCACATCTCCAGCATGAAATGTCTTTGGGTCCTGCATAACTTGTTTTATTTACTTTTCCCTCAGTAAACTCTGTATGGGTGTGTGCCTTCTCATGTGGGCTTCCCAATGAGGGGCTGCCTCTCTTATCGGTTTCTGAGGTAAACTTTCCTTTGGTTTGCTGAAAGTTATTCTTGTTTGTTTCCCAATATCTCCCACCAAATTTTGGCCCATCAAATCCATGGTCTCAGATTTCATTTATTTTATCGGCTAAGCCCGCTGCTTCCTCTATTGTCTTGGGGTTTCTTTCTTTTATCAGGTACTTCAGTTGGCCATTTATTGTGTCGTAAAATTGCTCCAACGCCATCACTTCTCTAATCTTAGGTACTGTGTCTTGCATTCTCTTGCTCTAACCATATTGTGAGGTAAGTTTTTATCTTTGCACCCATCTGCGCATAGGTTTCCTCCCTCACCTTTGTCACACTTCTAAATTTTTTCCTCAGCTGCTCTGAGGTAATCCCAAAGCGTGTATATACTAACTGCTTGTACACCTCAGAATTTCAGGATTGTTCCTCAGTCATTTGAGCCTATAATTCGGCTAGAGGACCGCTTATTCTTACTTGAAAATCGTGACAGGCTCTCTTGAAGGCTACTAGAAATGCTTCTGGGCTATCCCTATCTCTAAATTCAGAAAAGCGTTTTAAATCTATCTTCATTTGATTCTGCCCATTGGTGTTATTTTCTATTTTCTAATACCATTAGTTCCAACCGTCTCATCTCTAACTGAAACCGCTGCTGTTCCCTTTCCTGCTCTGCCCTCAATTTTTCTTTTTCCAATTCTTTCTCAAGCCTCAATTTTTCAGTTTCTTGCTCAGCTCTCAATTTTTCTTTTTCCAATTCTTGCTCAAGCCTATTTTTATCAAGCTCTAATTTCAAGTTATATTCTTGTACTAATTTCCACTTTTCAAAATCCTCTGAAAACTGTGGAACTTCTACTTCAGGTGGGGTTTTAGTCATCTCTTCTATTCTGGTTTCTTCCCCCTGGGGATTCCCATTCTCTTCTCCAGAGCTTTCATGTGGGTTTTCTCTCACTGGGTGCTTGGTCTTCTTGGGTGGCATTATGGTTGAGTCAGTATTTTGCACTAATTAAATAAGAGACTTTTACTCTCAGCACTGTTCCTCCCAGCTTGGCTTTCCAAGATCCCGGTCCCCAAAGTATAGCTTTAGGTTTTCCCCTCTAACCTTTCAAGCTTACTTCCTCTGACCCTGAGCCTAAGCCTCCGCGCCAAAACAGTCTTTTGAGATCTCTTGCTCTTATTGTTATCTCGGCCAAACAGCAATCTGGGGTTTATCCTCAATCACACCCTCAGGCCAGGTAATCCCTTCACCGATTTTACCCTTCCCCTCTCCAGGTGTATTGTTTCCCCTCACAGGCACTTAGACTTATCAAATCCTGCTGCTGTTGCCAATTTTGTGGCAGCAGGTTCGGTTGTTATCCCACCGCTGCACCACCAATTTTGTGGCGATCACACAGGGTCCCCGGACGTTTCACGGTCTATTGACCCTGTGCCTACAACTTCAAACTGAATTATTCCCAACTATCTATCTAACTCCCTAACAATTCCTCTCATTCTCTCACAATACAACTCAACCAACCCACTCCTAATCCACCCTCTTCCTTCTCCAACACCCAAGCCTCAACTCCCAACTGACAAACCTCAACTCCCAACTCCCAAACCCCAAACCTCAACCGTCAACCCCTGAAAAGATCCTGAAATGTTTGCCATGGACGGGGGTGGGGTGGGGGTGATTTGTGCAGCCTATACATGGTTGTTGTTGTTGTTGTTGTTGTTTTCTACAATCAAGTAGCATATATATTTTATGAAATAACAATAGTAACAACAACAACAACAACAACAACAACAACAACAACAACAACAACATATTTATACCCCGCCCATCTGGCTGGGTTTCCTTAGCTACTCTGGGTGGCTTCCAATAAAATATTAATATACAATAGTCCTTCAGATATTAAAAGCTTCCCTAAACAGGGCTGCCTTCAGATGTCTTCTAAAAATCTGGTAGGTGTTTTTTTCCTTTGACATCTGGTGGGAGAGCATTCCAAAGGGTGGGCACTACTACAGAGAAGGCCCTCTGCCTGGTTCCCTGTAACTTCGCTTCTTGCAGTGAGGGAACTGCAAGAAGGCCCTCGGTGCTGGACCTCAGTGTCCAGGCAGAACTATAGGGGTGGCGATGCTCCTTCAGGTATACTGGATGGAGGCCGTTTAGGGCTTTAAAGGTCAACACCAACACTTTGAATTGTGCTTTGAAACATACTGGGAGCCAATGTAGGTCTTTCAAGACCGGTGTTATGTGGTCTCGGCGGCTGCTCCCAGTCACCAGTCTAGCGGCCGCATTCTGGTTTAGTTGTAGTTTCTGGGTCACCTGAAAGGTAGCCCCACGTAGAGCGCATTGCGGTAGTCCAAGCAGGAGATAACTAGAGCATGCACCACTCTGGCGAGACAGTCTGCGGGCAGGTAGCGTCTCAGCCTGCATTCCAGATGGAGCTGGTAAACAGTTGCCCTGGACGCAGAATTGACCTGTGCCTCCATGGACATTAAAAACAGACACTTATGACACAGCAATATTAGTCATATCCAGTCCTTTTTTTCTAGAAAAAGAGGTGGTAGTACTCACCATGAAGTTGTTAAGGTAAGTGCCACACATTTATACAACAACAACAACAAAGAGGTGCCGGTACTGCATACCCTTGTGTACCCCCTGGGGGGGAAGCATTGGTCATATCTGTTAATTTCAACAGGTTTACTTTCAGTAGGACTAACTCAAAGTGGATTCAACTCACAGTGATTTCAATGTGAACGACCAAGGAAATTTGTAATGGAGCGTAACAAATAATTGCTCACAGCAGGCAGTGTGTGATGTGTTTTCCCCCCCCCCAGGAACCTCTGAAATGATCTGCCGTGCCATTGCCCACCAAACTGACTCAGTGGTTATGTGTGCTGAGTAAGTATCTTCATGCTTGTTGTAGCAGAAAAAAGAGTATTTCCCCTCAGTTTCTAACCCTTCCACATGAGCCCAGAAAAAAGCTGATTTTGCCAACATGGTGAATTTGCCAACCTTTAGAATGGGTGTTCACCTTTGTATTTTGATTTTTATGCCTTTGGACCCAATCCCTCTGGCTTTAATGATAAGAAGAGCTCTGCTGGATCAGGCCATTAAACTACTTTTACAGAAAACCACCACATCAACCCATAAAAAGCCATTAGGATTCTTCTCCTAAGGCAAAATGGCCCTGTGGTTGAGAGGGAAAGTGCAGCTGGAGTTAAGGTGAACTTCTCTCCGGCAAATAAGCTCAAGCTGTTCCCAACTGTCCCGTCAGCCACACTTACCATCCAATGAGAGCAGTGGTACATTGGGCAATGGGAGACGTGTCATTTGCCAGGGCTTCAGAGCCCTTTACAAGGCAAGCCTTCCTGACAGTAATGGACATCATCTCTCGCAATGGCTGCCCTCACTGCCTTAATGCACCTTTGGTGCATGATCTGAAGCCTCCTGGCCAAGGTGGGTGAACTGGAGCTCTTGGCTTTAAGGCCATATGGTTTAAAGTGGGCAGAAAGAGGGGCAGCATTGATCTCAGGAAGGCATGGTGGGACATACTGGAGGTGAGATGGAAAATGAAATCAAGGAAACATTCAAAATATAGAAGTTCAAAATATTCAAAATATAGAAGTTGGTTATATTAGGCATGTTGTGTGGAAAGTGGCCTAGGGAAATGTGTTTGTCGCTCTCTCTGAACTCTAGAACATGTGGGCATTCAATGAAGCTGAATGCTAGAAGATTCAGATAAAAGAAAGTACTTATCCATACAGTGCAAAGTTAAACTATGGAACTAATTCCCACAGAAAGCAGAGATAGCTTCCAATGTGGATGGCTTTGAAAAGGGATTAAATAATTGGGCAGAGTATAAGGCTACCAGTGGCTCCTAGCTATGCTGGCTATAGTCTGCCTCTACGGTTGGAATCAGATTTGACCAGCGGCCACTGAGAATGGGATGGCGAACTAGCATTATATTTGGGTGCAGAGCATCAGGCACAGGGGCTGAATGTTGCACTCGGGGCCTCTTCATTTCCCCTCTGACCCCAGACCCCACCCCTGCACCATTGCCCCTCTTTTGCATCATCCTTGAGTGGCATCTGACTGCTGTGAATGTGTCTTGCTTGCTTGCTTGGAGGGTAGAGAAAGGTGTGTGCCTGTGTGTAGGAACCAACCTACTTGTCCAGTGGGAAAGTTCGCATTTGCTTTCCATTTTGCTCTCTGGTCCCACCCACAGCTGACATGTGGCCCCCAGGAAGGTTGCATAGAAAGGAATGTGGCCCTAGGGGTGCCACCCTTGCAATATGCCATTGCAGGAAAATGCTGCAAAATGTATGATGTGTTATGTACTGAAGTTCTCACCCTGGGCCAGCAGGGGGATACTGTAGATAGTTATGCAAATGAAGGATCGAAAGTGACATTCAGTGATTGGATAGTTTGTATGCAAATGAAGGATTGAAAGTGACGTTCAGTGATTGGCTAGTTACAGAAAATGGTTACTGTTGCATTCTAGTGGAACTCTATATAAGCAGGCTGACCGAGCTCCTCACTTCAGTTCTGTTCCAGCTTACAAATAAAGAGCTGCTTTGGAAGAATCGCTGTGTCGTCTGATATGTTCGCCCACGACTTAACATGATGAATGCTGATCACATCTTGCCTTCTCTTTAGGTATCGCTTAGTTCCTGAGCATCCGTATCCAGTCCCTGTACTGGACTGTTTAACTGCTGTAATATATTTTATGAAAAATGCAAAGGAATATGGAGTGGACGCCAGCCGCATTGCCATTGCTGGGGAGAGTAGTGGAGGCACTTTTACTGCAGCCATTTGCCAAGAACTGGTGACCAGAGAGGACCTCCCAAGAGTGCGAGCTCAGGTCCTCATTTACCCATTCCTCCAAGGATTGGACTTCAATTTGCCATCCTATCAGCAAAACCATTCAGTTCCTCCTATGTTCCGGAAAAGAACTGTCAAAGTTGGTTTGACATATCTCACTGGGAAGACAATGAATGTAGATGGAGTTCTGAAAGGCGCCCATGTCCCTCCTGATTTGAGAGAGAAATACCAAAAATGGATCAATGCTGATAACATTCCAGAAGAATTTAAAGCTAGGGGCTATGTTCCTGTAGCACCTGCTCCATTTTTAGAAGAACTTTATGAACAAGTTAAAAGAGGTACTGAGACAATGTTTGTCCCCCTTCTAGCAGAGGATGACATAATCCGCCAGCTCCCGGAGACTTTCATTCTAACCTGTGAATATGATGGATTCCGGGACGATGGGCTGTTGTACAAGAAGCGGCTAGAGGACAATGGTGTGCCAGTGACATGGTATCATGTTCAAGATGGATACCACGGAATAATGGCCTTGGCTGGTTGGGGGCCACTTGCATTCCTGAACACACAGAAATGTTTGCAGAGTGTAATACAGTTCTTAAAAGGTTTATAGAAATGGATGACCTTGTAGGAGTGCAAATATCCAGAGTGTGGGGTCAGGTGGGACTACTATGAGGAAATATAAAATATGCATCAAGTCATTGTGTCCATGATGAATGCATTGTGTTGACTGGGTTTAATTCATTGACAATAATTTCTGACCAAATCCCACAACCCTCTGCATCTCTGGCCATTTCCTCTACTGCCCATCTCTCTTGCTTGACAAGTCAATTACACAGCCTGGGTCGAATGTAAATTCCATGCCACCTTCTTTGGTGGACCAATGCCTGCAAGGGGCTCAGACCACAGTGCAAAAATTGACTATTCCAAATATGGCAGAAGGAAGCAGTGAAGAAAAAACAGCTGACACCTTACCATTATTAGCAGTCTGTCCTGTTGTTCAGAATGCACAGGAACAGAGAGCCCATGAATCATTGCCCTTTGCAGTTTTTAAAAAATTGAAGTGAAGTGTGACAGAAAATGGCTTGCATGGTATTCTTGATGGGCTAAGAGCAGCCAGTACTTTAATTCCAAAACTTGACGCCTCTGAAGTTTCAATGAAACAATTGGCTTATGAAAATGAAAATGCTGATTGCAAGACTGCTCTTAAAGCAATGTACCAGAAGCCAGAAACAGATGTTGCTCAAATGAGTAAGCCTTGCCAGAATAGTGACACTGAGACTCACAAATCTGCCCTCCTAGCAGCAGCTTTGTCTCCTTCAGTGCATCCTGCTAAAGACAGGCAATGCCACAATGGATGGCCTTCCAGCCTGAGATTAAATGGGAAAACAAAGACTGTTGTGCCAGCTGATTGTCAGTCTTTTACTGAAGCTAAATTAGCAGAGCCAGCTATTGCTTCTAACACAGTTGCTTTGAACACACAGTCTCCTGTGACAAATCTGCGCCATGCCACTAAGGGCAGTGCTGGTTTGAATCTACTGACAGCAGAACTTGCTACTTTTCAGTTCCAGTTCCCTATGGTGGTGTATACAATTAAGACATAGCACACAGGTCTGATTCCACCTCAAACAGTGAGACTCATTCTTAATCGCTTTTTGCAGACTGTTTTTTCTCCTTTCCTCCCTGACTTAAAATTCCTAATGAATTTACTTTACAGCAGTTGCAGAGTTTTGGGGTCGCTTCATACGCGTGATTCTTTTAATACAATGCTTTCACCTACAGGATTACTTTTTCCCCAGACACTGCTGACAGAATAGTGATTTTAGAGTGGCTACACTCTGAATTGCCTAACACTGGATTTGATATTGCTGCTTGTTATTTGCTTTTTTCTAAACAGGATCACGAGTCCCTAATGAGTTCTTTTCTTTCCTATCTGTTTGCATTTACTGATTAACTTGGGATAGTTTATTTTAACCCTCCTAAAGATTCATGCCTAGTATAATTCAACAGGTACCCTGAAAATTGGTTTCTGTCCAAAAACAGATTCCTAGTCAACACCTCTAGAGTGTTTTAACGTATAAGGATTCTGAAAATAACTAGCATTTTTTTTTTGCAGCTAATCAGAAAACTGACAGAGACCAGCCTACACTTCCACTGCATTTTGTGATTTTTGTGTGAAGTGGGATATCTTTTTATCACATTTGGCTAATTCCTATCTTTCTCCTATGCTAGATTTTAATCTACTCTTTGATCTTGACACTGAAATATCTCTTAATGCATAGAACTATGCCTTTCTATGCTGCTCCCATTTTGCTCCCATACAGAATTCAAGGGTATAATTTCAGAAGGAAATCAACATGCTGATTCTTCTCCGAAATCCTTCTGTCCATTATTTTCTAATCCAATTGACAGCCATGCATTTTTACACCAGGGAGCTAAACAGCTGATTTTAAACTATTTTTTCATTCCTCTGACACAAGCTAAGGATATTGTTGATGGATGTCCTTCCTGCGCTTTAACTTCTGTTAACTTTACCTTAAATTAACTGTTTCCTTTCCTAATAAATTTTCTCCTATGGATCGCCATTGTAGGGAAGAGGCACCTCTGGAATGCCCTCTGGTGATGTACCAGCAGCTCCCCAACCCGAAGTGAGAGGGACCTGTTCCTTTGCTTACCTAGGGGCAGGGATGCCCTACTGTTCTTACTTTCTCAGGTCCTGTGTGGATTCCAGGTCACTGTATCCATCCCTATTGGCCAAGACATGAGCTGGCACCAAGGCCTGCAGAATCCCCTTCCAGACTTTGCAAGGACCATGACCCTGACTCCGCATCTACAGGCTCAGCAGCCCCATGCGAAAGTCCATTGCACCCATCCTCATCCTTGAAAGGCTGAGGGATGCCCGGAGGTGACATGGGGAATGCTGAAGACCTTGACCTCTGATGCCAAGACACAATTTCAGCATTATGATGTTCCAACGGAATCAGAGACCTTTTTAGTAGCTCTAATTACTCAGCTACGTATGAACCCTATGCTGATTTTAACATGTATATTATTTGTTTTCTTGATACCTACTACTCACTGTATCTATCTTCCTCCTGACACTTCTTCTAGTCATAGCTATAATATGTGGATGCATTTAGCTGAAGTTGCTAATGTCTCTCATTTTTGTCTGAGTGAAACATATGATATGCACACTGCCTTAGGAAATTGTATAATCCCAGTTTGCACACAGCCTTTCATATGGCACATGCCACACACATGGGAAAGTGGTTTTCTAAATGGATTTCTATTTTTTTTAAAAGATATTTATTAGAATTTTACAAAATGAAAAAAGAAAAAAGAAAAATACAAAATAAAAATAGTTAAAAAAAACAACAATTCCATCTTTCCATCACTTATCTTTCATTTGCTTGTTTCCCGGACCTCCTCACACCTCCCTTTTTGTATTCCCGTTCAATTTGTTAGTTCAGCAAATCCTTCCCCTCTTTGTTTATCCTAATCTTTAATCTTAAAATAATGTAACATTAAATTTTTGTCTAATAGTCCATTTTTTCATACTCTTTATAGCATTATAGCTAAAAACCACATAACTTTTCATCCAACATCATTCTAACATTCATTAATTTTACAATATTTCTGTAGGTAGTCTTTAAATTTCTTCCAATCTTCTTCCACCGACTCTTCTCCCTGGTCTCGGATTCTGCCGGTCATTTCTGCCAGTTCCATGTAGTCCATCACCTTCATCTGCCATTCTTCCAGGGTGGGTAGATCTTGTGTCTTCCAATACTTTGCAATAAGTATTCTTGCTGCTGTAGTGGCATACATAAAGAAAGTTCTATCCTTCTTTGGCACCAATTGGCCGACCATGCCCAGGAGAAAGGCCTCTGGCTTCTTCAGGAAGGTATTTCTAAAGGATTTCTAAAGGTATCATTAGTTATACCAATCTCCATGATTGGGGAAAGGTAACACAAAAGATACCCCTGGATACAATATCATTATACACACCTAGAGTTGCAGCACCACCAGACACCTCTTGTGCTCAGATTGTGAATTGCAGTAAGGAAGCAACTCGCTGTCTGAACACAGGAAGGCCAACTTGGAATTGTTCACGTGTTTAGCAGATTACTTTTAATTATGCTCATGTGCGCTTACCAGATGGCTGGTTTTTTACATGTAATCAAAGAAGTTATAACTACATTTCCGCCAATTTATCTGATGCTCAATGCTGCCTTAGCCCAGTGTTTCCCAACCGGTGTTCCGTGGCACACTAGTGTGCCGCGAGACGTTGCCTGGTGTGCTGCGAGATGTTGCCTGGAGGGAGGCGGGCGAGTCGGGCGGCGAGAGGCGGGGCGGCGGCGGCGAGGAGAGGCCGCCCAGCACGGGGCTCTCGCCGTCTGCCTGCCTGGCTGCCTGCGTGGCGCTGACATCACGGGGCTGTAACGTGCCCCACATAGGCACACGCGGGGCGGCGAGCGAGCGAGCTCCCACATCCCATCGCCGCTCGCTTCGGCCGGCCTACTGGGCTGTCGCAGGCGGAAGGCCTGCGCATGCGCAAGGTTTTCGTGCCTTCGGGATTCCCTTCACGCCTTCCTCCTCCCGGGTCCTTGAGAGCGCGGGAAGCGGCAGCGCGAGACCGGCGTTGAGCCTGGTAGGTATTGCGCTTGCCAAGGCAGTCATTTGGGAAATGAAAACTTGCAAAGCAAGCAACCAGTTCAGTCTGAAGTACGTGTATGCTTAATATCCTGTATCTGAAACCTGTTCTGCCCCCTCCCCCACACTTGGTGCCATTTTCATCTACACATGCAGCAGAGTAAGTTGACCCAGAATAGTACCAATTCAGATGGCAGATGGGAGAATGACAGTGCTGAATGCTTTCCCATGTAGAACAGTCCCTGCAAATAAAAACCTAGCATATTTGGAAGAGGGATGCTAGCCTAACCATTACCTTCTATGCTGTTACTATTTTTTTTTTTTTACATAAGTAAAAAGTGACCTTTCCCCATCTGGCATGGTGGTGTGCCTCGAGTTTTTTTTCATGAAACAAGTGTGCCTTTGCCCAAAAAAGGTTGGGAAACACTGCCTTAGCCGATTGACGTTAGTTATGCCTAGTCGCTCACTTTTTGGAAAAAAACAGGCAGCAGCACTCAAAGCGCCCTCAACGTCATGCTGAAAGATTAACTGACATGTGTGACTCCAATCTACAGTTTCCCCCCCAAAGCAGAGTATACTTCCTTGGCTTCTTCCTTAGTGGAAGTCCCTGCTTTGGCTATATACAATGCTTGCATGGGTGCTCACCTGGCCTGTTCTTTGACAAAATCTATAAATCATACCTCACGTGCTTTAGCTATTTTAAATCAAGAACAGAAGATTTTAAGAGAAGCTGTTATTATACTGAAAGCTTCTGTAAGACTATCTCTTGCTACACCAGCATCTAGGATGTCAAGTTGTGTCTAATCTTTGCTGTTTTAATTTGACTGATGATAGTTACCATGTGCAAACTCAAATTGATCAATTGCGAGCACTAGCACACAACATCACACAGGATGTTCTTTCCTCCTGATGGGACACTCTGTGGTCTTGGTTACCACAGATTGGGTGGTTTCGAACCCGGCTCATGTATGGGTTGCTAATCATTGTTGCCTTAATTGGAACTTCTTGTTTTTTACAATGTATCCCTTCCTTGTTCTCTCTCTGCACTACATTTTTTCCACGCCCTCCTTCAGGAATGTCTGATACAGAAACACATGCAGGAAGATTATGAGGACACAATGCCTCTCCTCTCTTAAGCTTCTCTGTACACAATAAATAAAAAATAAAAATAAAAAATGGTGAGATGTAGGAGTGCAAATATCCAGAGATGTAGTGATCAGGTGGGATTGCTATGAGGAATTATAACAGATATAGAGTAAGCCATCTGTGTCAGCAATGAAAGCATTGTGTTGACTGGGTTTAAACTATTTTGATATGATTCTTGATCAATCTACACCCCTGCATCCCTGTTCCATTCCTCTCTTCCCCACATGTCACATACACAGGGGCGCCGACTTATAAAAAATATTGGGGGGGCCCATACTGGGGTCCTGCCGCTGGTTCGCTCGGGTAGCCGGGAGAACGCAGTTCGAGGTGGCGGTGTTGGGGAGAGACCCTCGCTCAGGGCGCCACGAGACTTGGCGGCCAGCGGCCTATCTGGGGGGTTTTGGAGCGTATCGGCGGAGCGATTGGGGAGGAGGGGGCTTGTTGCCGGATTCTTCAGCTGGGCTGGAGATCCGCTGCTGGGGGGTCCCTGGGCCGAGTTGTGAGCACGGCCTGCTGAAGGGAGATCCAGCCGATTGCGCGACGGGGACGGCCGGGGCTCTCCGGCTAGGGCGCGCGGCTGGCTGGCGAGGGAGCAGGTGGGGAGGAGGCCGGGGTCCTGATACAGTCGGGGGCGGAGGCAGACGGGGCCGAGGGGCGAAGAGGGCAGGCGGGGCACGGGGCGCTTGCTCAGGAGCTCAGCTAACCTGTCCCAAGAGACATAGCCTAAGTACTCCTTCCTTCCTTCCTTCCTTCCTTCCTTCCTTCCTTCCTTCCTTCCTTCCTTCCTGTTTTTTCCCCTCCCTCTTTCCACTGCTCCCCTCTTTCTTTCTTTCTTCTTTCTTTCTTTCTTTCTTTCTTTCTTTCTTTCTTTCTTTCTTTCCTTCTTCCTTCCTTCCTTCCTTCCTTCCTTCCTTCCTTCCTTCGTCTCATTCCTTCTTATTTCATTCATTTTCTTCCTTTCCTCCAACCCTTCGATGCTCCTTCCTTCCTCCCTTCCTATTTCATTCCTTTCTTTCCTTTCCTGCAACCCTTCCCTGCTTTTTCTTTCTTTCCTTCCTTCCTTCCTTCGTCTAATTGCTTCTTATTTCATTCATTTTCCTTCCTTCCTTCCTTCCTTCCTTCCTTCCTTCCTTCCTTCCTTCCTTCCTTCGTCTCATGGCTTCTTATTTCCTTCCTTTCCCCCTCTCTTTCCTTCCTTCCTACCTTCCTTCCTTCCTTCCTTCCTTTTCCACCCCCTCCCTCAATCTCACCCTCCCTCCCTCCCTTCCTTTTTCCTTCCTTTCTTTGCTCCAACCCTTTCCTTCCTTCCTTTCTTCTCGTTGCTTCCTGTTTCATTCATTTCTTTCCTTTCCTCCAACCCTTCCTTCCTTCCTTCCCCCACCCCTCCTCCCTCCCCCTCTCTCAATCTCACCCCTATCCCTCCCTCCTTCCTTCTCGCCTTCCCCTTCCCCACAGATTCACACTCTCCCCCCTCACCGCCCGGCCTACAGCCCAGCTGAAACTCTCGCTCACCCTCCAGCCGCAATTGATTTTATATCGCTATTCTCCCTTACTCCCCGCTGCTGCCTCTCCCCTCACCCCCCACTTCCCCCCCGCCCACCTCCCAGCACTCGCCTTTCCCTGTGGTGTGTGTGTGTGGGAGAGAGAGAGAAAGGGGGGAGAGGGAGAGAGAAAGAAAGGGGGGCACACACCCTTGTCGATGCCTTCTACACACAGAGAGAAAGGCAGAAATCACATTCATAATAGGAACCAGAGAAGCCACACTGAGGCTGGCAGGTGGGCGCTCGTTAGGAGCACGCTGGGCAGGTTGTGTGTGTGTGTGTGTGCGCTTGGGGGTGGTGTCGGTGGAGGGGGGGCGGACAGACCGTAGCTGGGTGCCGTGACGTCAAGGCGAGAGGGAGGCTGAGCCGAGGAGCAGAGCCGCGCGATCGGCGGCGGCGCTCTGCTGGAGGGGCGCCCGAGTTTTTGAATTTTTGAGGGGGCTCGGGCCCCCTCAGGCCCCATGGAGTCGGCGCCTATGCACATACACAGCAGTTGCTTCGCCAGGCAGGCATCCTGGGCCATAAAGACAGTGGGCAAGTTCCTTTGAAGTAGTTTCTTATATATTAATCTTGGGGTGTTAATCTTAGGGCCTGGAAATAGTTTCACAGGAAGGTGATAAAGATGCCTATCTCCTTGCCATCCTTCCATCCTTTCTTGTTTACTCCTGTTTGGGATCTCCGGAGTTTCTCTAGTCCTCTTTTATTTACTCTCAGATTAGGTATGCATGCTCATAGTAGTAGTCTTTGTAGTTAAACGCATTTCTTTTGATCTAACTTTGTCCCCACGTGGGTTTGTGAAAATGCTCAGAAGAAATCTGATTGGTTCTTAGGAACACTCTGTAAAAAGCTTTTTTGTGAATAAAACGACCTGGGCCGGGGGGTGGGGGGGGCTGCGAAAAAAACACGGACTAGCACAGAGAGACACGATTATACGCACCCTTCTCAGAGTCTTGCTGGTTCAAGCCTCTGTGTGTATTCTTATTAATCAGAGTTCAATCCTTCCTTTACTTTGCGAACGCAACACCACAGCAATGTTGGCTTTACTTCCTTGACCCCATCACCTCCGCCCTATGGTGTCATGGCATTAGGTGGTGGCCTGCAGCATTATCTTGAGGACAAATCAACACTGATTACGTTCCATTTGGATTACTGCAATGTGTTATGCAAGGAGTTGAATTTGGAAATGGTCTGGAAACCTGAGTTAGTGATAATAATGACTGCAGGGACATTGATTGGCACTTGACAGGGGAGTTTAGGCAAATTCACACCAACGAACATACACCCGCACCCTGTGTGAGGAATGTTAGAAGTGGGTGTGAGATCCTCAAAATCTAAACAAAATTGCTAAAGCAGTAGAGAGATTATTGATTACAAAATAACGTCCTTGCAAGATTAGGTGTCCAAAAGCAGACACACCCAAAAATAGTAAGACCGAAGGTTATATCCCTTATACCCGAGGCAGGTTCCCTCCTGTTTCCCCATTGGCTGGGTATGTGCAGGGTTTACAGCCTATCACTTCCGCCCAATTAAAATACTAACCCCCCCCACCTTTGTTGACATCTCCCATTACTCTGAATTTGATGACCATTCCTCCTAATTTCTTTCCTCCTCCTTTGGTCTGTGTTGCTATGCTTTTACACATTGACTCAAGCAATAAAGCCACATACTGACAACCCTTAGGCATAAGCAAGCTCTATATTTGCTGAAGTATGCGTCCATTTCAGCTATCAGCCAACCTGTTTTCGGGCATTATAATCACGAGTCATTCTAAAGATAAGCTGTTAAGCAAGTCTATGGTTAGCCTGCACCTTATTACCACATTCCTAAACAATTTGTTTTCTTCTCAGCTGAGAGATTAAGTGGGTTGGCCGAGGATGTTCTCTTGCAGGTGACACGGACTGTTCTTGTATAAAAGCCACCAGCATTGGCTAAGGCGAAGTCCTTGTCTCTGTGCCTCTGAGTTGAAGGGAAATGGCATTTGGTGGAACTCTGTGGATGCAGATATTATATATGACCATCTTCATTCATCTCTTGCTGTTGGTATGGGGAGTTTCTTATACACTTCCCAGGACCCACCTGCCTCGAGGAATCACCCGTCCTGCACTATTGATAATTTTAAATTTCTTAATGGGATATGGATTTGTACTGGTAAGTTTATTTTACATAGATTACAGGGATGAAGCGACACCTCTATAAAAAGGGCTGCAACATTAGAAATAGTTTAGAGAAAAGGCAAGTAAGAGGCGACGTGATAGAAATGCTTAAGATTATGGAGAAAATAGAGAGAGAGAGGTTTTCCTCCATCTCTCATGACACTAGAACTTGTAGACAACCCAATGAAGCTGAATGTTGGAAGATTCAGGACAGATGGAAGAAAGGACTTCTTCACACATAATATATTCAATCCATGGAAGTCACTCTCACAAGAGGCAGTGATGGCTGCCAAGTTGAATAGTTTCCAACGAGAAATAGAGAAATTCATGGAGGCAATAGCTATGGATGCTTATTAACCAGCTCTGGCTCTAGAGATGGAGGCAGCAATGCCTCTGAACACCAGTTGCTGGAAAACACAGGAGGGGAGAGGGCTCCTGTCCTTGGGTCCGGGTTTGTGGGTTTCCCATTGGGGCACCTGGTTGACAACTGCTAGATGCTAGACTAGATGGGCCATTGTCCTAATCCAGCAGGCTCTGCTTTGAGGCGTTCCCAAAGTAAAGGAAGGCTTGAACTCTGATTATGAAAATACACACAGAGGCTTGAACCAGCAAGACTGGTTGCGTATAATAATAATTCCTGTCCACCCTCCGGCCCAGGTCGTTTTATTCACAAAAGAACTTTTGTCACCGTGTTCGTAAGAACCAATCAGATTTCCTCTGAGCATTTCAACAAACCCCACGTGGGGACAAAGTTAACCTACGAAAACTAATTACCGTAAGCATGCATATTTCTGGGGTAAACAAAACAGAACTACAAAGGAGTGCATCCAGCAACCCCGGAAGTCACAAACAAGCAATATACATGATAAGAAGGAGGCCAGGAGGACAGGGATCATTATCACCTTCATGTGAGATCTGTTTCCTGGCCCTAAGATTAACATCCTAAGATTAACATATCAGAAAAGCTACAACAAAAAAAGCTGCCCACTATCTTTCACAGCCCAGGATGCATGCCTGGCATAGGTGTCAACTTTCAGATTTGAAAATAAGAGATCAGCAGCCGGAATAAGGGATCACAGGTCCCAAAGTAAAGAGCTCAGCTAATCTGTAGGTGGGCTTTTGCCCCTGCAAACAATCGTGGCACTCTCTTTTCATGTTTCAGTCATTTTGCTTCGGTCTCTTGTAATGTGCTGCCACCCAGTGGCCTTCCTGGCAAATTGCATCAGGTAATTCAGAGGTGCATCCCAACATAACATTTCCTTGCTTCTCATTGTGTCCCGCTGACCGTTGCTTGGTAAGTGCTGCAGTTACTTTCCATAAGCAGACCTTTCTCCTTTCCCCAGACCAGCTCTGTCAGGGCTATTGCTCACTTCCAAGCCTCAATATTACACACCGTCACCTCTCCGCTGGGAAGCGCTGAGCAAAGGCGAGTCCCCAGGCAACGCGGCCGATTTAATCGGCACAAGGCATGCAAACTCCACCCCCCAGTCGTTCTTAGACTCCTTATTGGGTGAGCAACACAGCCAGGCAACATAGTTGGAGCCTCCCTCCTCCCTGGCCGGCAGGGAGGAAGGGAGAGGAGCTGCTTCCTTTGAAACCTGGGAAATATACGGGACATCATCAATCCAGGACAGCAGCGGGAAACGGCTCTGGGATAAGGGAGTTTCCTGCCAAATAAGGGACGGTTGACAGCTGTGCTGCCTGGCAAAGCAACTGGCAGCTGGGCTGTGTACGCAAGCAGAGAGAAATGGACAGTAGAGGAAATGGCCAGAGATGCAGAGGGTTGTGGGATTTGATCAGAAATTACTGTCAATGAATTAAACCCAATCAACACCATGCTTTCACAGCTGACACAATGGCTTGATGCATATTTTATAATTCCTCATAGTAATCCCATCTGATCCCCACACTCTGGATATTTGTACTCCTCCACTACTTAGGTTCTTATGCACTCCAGTGGATTTATCCTGAGTAGTACTAGCACTGAATACCCCCAATTTGTGTTGCATCTTAAGGTTTGAAATAACAGGAAGCGTACTAGGAAAGGGGAGTGGGCAGGGGCTTCACTTCTGGGCTGCTCAAAGAGAATAATTTTCCATCCCAAGAGGAAGGAAAGGATAAACAGCGCAGTCATCTCCCATGCACGGTTTCTGTTCCATAGGCAATACATCTATGCAATACATATATCTAATGCTGATTTAAAATGCTAAATGGTTTGGTTTAAACAGGGAGGAATTCTGGAAAAACTGGGCATCTTCCATAGATATTCCATACTCAGGATCCTAAACCTATTAATTCCAGAAGTGAAGGACCCAAAAATGATCACAAGGGATCTGGTTTTTGATGGGGTGCTTGTGAGGCTGTACTGGCCCAAGACATCACCTGCTGGGAACAGGAAAGGAATCATCTTTCTTCATGGAGGGGTTGCACTATTTGGAAGCATCCGTAAGTTCTTTGAAATATTTTTGAAATGTTTCACTTTGTTGTTTGTGGAGAATTTGGGGTGATACTTTAATGTAAAGGTCATGAAATGTTTGCTATGGAGGGGTGGGGGTGGTTTGTGCTGCCTCTGGGTTTTTATTTTTATCTTTATGAATACTGCTACAAAAGTTGGGTACCACCTCTCTGCCAAACCAGTAGGATGGGATGATGAGAATTGTAGTTTAAGAACAGTTGGAGACCCAAGCTTGGGAAACACTGCTCTAAAGACACTCTTTTCCTGAAAACTCAAACACCGCCCCATTGCCATGAGTCTGACAACCTCTTTCTGCACAGGCCCAAGAATTCCTCGCATATGTGCCACCAACCCCTTTGTCATGTTAAGGCCTCTATCCAAGTGAGGCACTGACTTGGAAAGTGTTTTTTCCGCTGGCCTCCAATCTTCCCTTCAATACTCCAAATCAGGCATAGGCAAACTCCGGCCCTCCAGATGTTTTGGACTACAATTCCCATATCCCTAGCTAACAGGACCAGTGATCAGGGAGGATGGGAATTGCAGTCCCAAACATCTGGAGGGCCGGAGTTTGCCTATGCCTGCTCCAAATAATAATCAAAATCCTACCACTTATTAATTTCTAAGGTTTAGGGTGGTCTCCCCCCAAAACTATAACAATATAAAGAATAACAACAAACAATGTCAATAACCTGTGCCTACACACAGTTTAAAAGGCCGTCTATTGGTTAATTAGCCAAAGGTACCTGACAATATGAAACGAAGGCGCCAGGTGAGTCTCCTAGGGGAGAGCATTCCACAAACGGGGAGCCACAACAGTTATGGGCTTGGGCCCAGAAACAAATTGGCAGCCAATGCAGTCACACCAGGATTGGCATCATATGCTCAAACCACGGAGGGCAACCTGGCTGCTGAATTCTGCACCAGCTGAAGTTTCTGAACTGTAGGCAGCTTAACATGGCAGGATGGGATTGTGTGGTAAGAAAACAGGGCTGAGCCTTCCTGTTCCAGAGATGTCTGGTTCTGTATTAATTCCTAATGTCAAGGTCAATGAAAAATGCCAAAGAAGGTATTCGTGCTTCGTACTTCAATGGACTTCTATGAAAGGTCTTCCAGAGATGCTCAGAATTAATTTGAAAGAAGCCCAAAAATGTGGTCTGAGGTTTGTTTGGTCCTGTTCTGACTTATTCATGTATTTACACGTTCATTCTGCATGGAGGGAGTCCATGGTCATCTCAAGGAGGGCTTGTTCCCACAGCTGTGCAGCACTGGAGTCAAAGGCATCTTTCCCAGCCAGCCTTTAGCTAGCCAGTCCAAAATGGATCCCAGTCTTCGTTCTTCCTAGCACACCTTGCTTGAAAAGTATGGATTTTTTGGTTCTATTCTGAGTTTTACCCATTGAAACTGCTGATCAGGAGGGAACAAAATGTACATAATGGTTTTCAACTAGTGATGCCCCATTTATAAAGGGTTCAGTTCAACTTAGTTGTTGCCAAAGGAGACTCATTAAAGGTTATGTGCCTTTTTCCAGGAACTTCTGCAAGGATCTGCCATTCGCTTGCCCACGGAACCGACTCAGTGGTTATGTGTGTTGAGTAAGTATCTTCACGCTTCAGTTTCTAACCCTTCCACATGAGCCCAGAAAACGGCTGATTTTGCCAACCTTTAGAATGGGTGTTCACCTTTGTATTTTGATTTTTATGCCTTTGGACCCAATCCCTCTGGCTTTAAGCATAAGAAGCTGGATCAGGCCAAAGGGGGGCCCAACATCCTGTTCTCACGGTGGCCAACCAAATATCCCAATGAAAAGCCCACAAGCTGGACCCAGACACAGGAGCACTACTCCCAGTTGCAATGTACATCATCTGGTATTCAGAAGCATTACTGCCTGTGATAGTGGAGATGGCCCATCCGCCTTGTGACTAGTATTCATGGATAACCTTATCCACCATGAGGGGCTGATATGGCTTCTCAATCTATGCTAGTTCTATCTGTTGCAATTATCTCTATCCTGCCTTTCAGGACAAAACTCCTTCCAAGGCATCATATAAGGAACATTAAACTACTTTTACATAAAACTAGATAAATGTTTTTGTCCCTCTCTCTTAACTCTAGAACATGTGGACATTCAATGAAGCTGAGTGCTAGAAGATTCAACTAAAAGAAAGTACAGTGGTGCCCCGCAAGACGAATGCCTCGCAAGATGGAAAACCCGCTAGACGAAAGACAAATTTCCCTATGGGCTTGCTTCGCAAGACGAAAACGTCTTGCGAGTCTCGCCATTTCCCCCCCGCTTCCCCCCCCTTTTTCAAAGGCACTAAGCCACTAATAGCCTTTTAGCAGCTTAGCCGCTAATCCTTTAATAGCCGCTAAGCCGCTAAATCGCTAATAGCGCTAATCCTCTTAGCCGCTAATGGGGTTGCTTCGCAAGACGAAAAAACCGCTAGACGAAGAGAATCGCGGAACGAATTCTTTTCGTCTTGCGAGGCACCATTTTACTTCTTTACGTGGTGTGTAGTTAAGCTGTGGAACTCGTTCCCTCAGGAGGCAATGATGGCCTCCAACTTGGGTGGCTTTCAAAGAGGATTAAACAAATGCACACGGTATAAGACTACCAGTGGCTACTAGCCATGATGGCTATAGCCTGCCTTTGCAGTTGGAGACAGTGTCCTTCTGAATGCCAGTTGCTGGAAGCTGAGGGAGGGAAGAGTACCACAGGACTCATGTTCTGATTGTGAGTTTCTCCAATGATTGACCACTGGCCACTGAGAACAGGATGTGAACTAGCATTATATTATCATGGAAAACCTCAGGCACTGGGGCTCAATGCTCCACTCCAGGCCTCTTCAGTTCTCCCTGAAGAGCCAGTGTGGTGTAGTGGTTAAGAGCGGTGGACTCGTAATCTGGTGAACCGGGTTCGATTCCCTGCTCATCCACATGCAGCTGCTGGGTGACCTTGGGCTAGTCACACTTCTTTGAAGTCTCTCAGCCCCACTCACCTCACAGAGTGTTTGTTGTGGAGGAGGAAGGGAAAGGAGAATGTTAGCCGCTTTGAGGCTCCTTAAAGGTAAAGGTAAAGGTACCCCTGCGCGTAAGGGCCAGTCGTGACCGACTCTAGGGTTGTGTGCTCATCTCAATTAAGAGGCCGGGAGCCGTCACCGTCCGAAGACGCTTCCGGGTCATGTGGCCAGCATGATGAAGCTGCACTGGTGAGCCAGCACCAGTGCCGCACATGGAAATGCCATTTACCGTATTTTTTGCTCTATAAGACTCACTTTTCCCCTCCTATAAATTAAGGGGAAATGTATGTGCGTCTTATGGAGGGAATGCAGGCTGCGCAGCTATCCCAGAAGCCAGAACAGCAAGAGGGATCGCTGCTTTCGCTGCACAGCGATCCCTCTTGTTGTTCTGGCTTCTGAAATTCAGAATATTTTTTTTCTTGTTTTCCTCCTCCAAAAACTAGGTGCGTCTTATGGTCTGGTGCGTGTTATAGAACGAAAAATACGGTACCTTCCCACTATAAAGCGGTACCTATTTATCTACTTGCACTTAAGGGTGCTTTCGAACTGCTAGGTGGGCAGGAGCTGGGACCGAACGACGGGAGCTCTCCCCGCCGTGGGGATTCGAACCGCCGACCTTACGATCAGCAAGTCCTAGGCACTGAGGTTTTACCCACAACGCCACCCGCGTCCCATGAGAAACTGGAGTCTGGTCCTTCTACAAGTTGGGAAAAGCAGGGTAGGGGGTAGTGATAAAGCAGGATATCAAATCCAAACTCCTCTTCTTCCCTCTGAAATCACCGCAGACCCCACCTCTGCACCATTGCCCCTCTTTTGCACCCTCCTTGAGTGGCATCTGCCTGACTGGAATTTGTCTTGCTTGCGTGAAGGCAGGGGTGCCAACCTGAGTAAATATTGCCCCCCCCCCCCGCCGGTAAGTCCCATATTGCATAAATGATCACATGACATGGAGCACATAACCATTTGAATGGAAATGTCAATCAGCTTAGGGGGACCCAGCCTCCTTGGGGGTGCTGAAGGTGCCTCAGCCCCAAGTATGATGTCAAATGTTGATGATATCTTGTTTTTTCTTTAGATTTCGCTTAGCTCCTAAGCATCCCTATCCAGTCCCTGTACTGGACTGTTTAACTGCTGTAATACATTTTATGAAAAATGCAAAGGAATACGGAGTGGACCCCAACTGCATTGCCATTGTTGGGGAGAGTAGTGGAGGCACATATGCTGCAGCCATTTGCCAAGAACTGGTGACCAGAGAGGACCTCCCAAGAGTGCGAGCTCAGGTCCTCATTTACCCATTCCTCCAAGGATTGGACTTCAATTTGCCATCCTATCAGCAATATCATTCAGTTCCTCCCTTGTTCCGGAAAAGAGCTGTCAGTCTTGGTTTGACATATCTCACTGGGAAGACAATGAATGTAGATGGAGTTCTGAAAGGCACCCATGTCCCTCCTGATTTGAGAGAGAAATACCAAAAATGGATCAATGCTGATAACATTCCAGAAGAATTTAAAGCTAGGGGCTATGTTCCTCTAGAACCTGCTCCATTTTCAGAAGAACTTTATGAACAAGTTAAAAGAGGTTATGAGACAATGTTTGCCCCCCTTCTAGCAGAGGATGACATAATCCGCCAGCTCCCGGAGACTTTCCTTCTAACTTGCGAGTATGATGTTCTCCGGGATGATGGGCTGTTGTACAAGAAGCGGCTAGAGGACCACGGTGTGCCAGTGACATGGTATCATGTTCAAGATGGGTTTCATGGAATAATGGCCATGGCTGGTTTGAAGGCAATTGAATATCCGAGCACTCAGAAATGTTTGCAGAATGTAATACAGTTCTTAAAAGGTTTATAGAAATGAATGACATTCTTTGTCTTCCTATGGCAGTCTTCCCCTTCTGTGGAGGGAAATATCGTTCCTCATTGTGCCAATCCTGAAGTAAAAAGAAAAAATCTGATCAAAAGTTCTACTCTGTTCAGTTTCAATACAATATTCCCTCAACATTTTCACTCCTCATCCTTACTTCCATGAAGTTTCTGTTCAAATCCTTTGTCTACTAAATGTAATACTCATTTCTATAACAAATATACAACATTAGATTCCTTTATCATTCTCCTTCCTTTGCTTATATTTCCAGTCCTGCTTGTGTTTTCATTTGACTATTTTCTCAGATATTCTGAAAAGGATCTCCACTCCTCCACATGCATTTCGTCCTTTGGGTTTCTTGTTTTCACCTTCTCCATATAGTCCAATAGTTTTAAAGTCCACTCCTCTTTTGTTGGAACTTCTTCATCACTTTTTTTAAAATTGATTTTCCAGATTTTAACCCAATTATAAAAATTATAACAAATTAATACAATTCTGTGTAAGTGACTTCCTGCGTGCCGTACGTCCTTATCTTCCAATGTTACTGTGTTTACATACTTTACATACTCTTATTGAAGTAAATAGTATAACAGACCCTGAGGATTGCCACACCCCTTGCTACTGGTTTGGGAGTTTTCTCTTTCTAGAAGATCTCTCCCCTCCTGACTGGAATGAGACCCATGTAGGCTGTATCCACACAGCTTCTACTTCTCCTGGCTCAAAGTCAGCTCTCCAGCTAGCTCCTGGCGTAAAACTCTCCCAAGACACTCAAACCAAGCCCAGTAAAAACTCCCTCAGAAACTGCTCCTTTTATTTTTCTCCTCCCACTCTGCTTAGTACTCATTCAGAGAGGCTCCAGCCCTCTGGTGGAATTCTGAGGGACTGCATCACCAAACTCTGGTCTGGCTTTGCTGTCCATCACAGAGGTATTTAGCAGGGGTCAGCAAACTTTTTCCGCAGGGGGCCAGTCCACTGTTGTGGGAGCCATGAAGTCATGGCAAAGGCTTGTAGCGCCACCTGGTGCCTCGCTGACCTCGGTGACCTGCATGTCCGTGCCTTGCTGTGTATTAAGTGCATAGCCTTATATGGAGTTATGCTCCCCCTCTGGGCAGTAATTACCTTATATGGCGAGGGGGGGGAAAGCCATGACCGGATGAGGTAACGCGAGACTTTGGCAAACGGCCATGCGACTGGGGAGAACAAAGGATAATAAAATCAGGGGAGAGCAGACGGAGGAGCTGCTCTTACCTTCCTGAAAATATAGCTGGCTCTTTGTGTGTTTTTCTATGCTATGTGTGATGGCCTGGGAATCCGATTCAGAGAGTGTACCAGGTTTCCTTTCAACATCTCATACACCTCGCACCTTGTGGACTATTACCAGGCTAGTGACTCAGGACTGAACTTTGACTACGGTAACAGTAACCTTCCCCCCGGGACCAGCACAGTTTGCTCCCGCCACACCCGCACTCCCCCTTCGTTGGGGTGCGTTCGGGAAGAGCCAGAGGCCATGGCTGACCAGGCAGCTGCACTGGTGGCATTGGCCCAGGAGAACCAGGCCTTGACCCACACCGTTCAGCAGCTAAGCGATGTGGTTGCGGCACTTCAGCAGCGGTTGGATGCCTTTCCAGATCCTGGGGCCGATGCACCAGCTCCAGGCAAGTACCCAGTGGCCTTGCCAGAGAAATTTGATGGGGCCCTGGCCAGTTTTCCCATGTTCCTCGCCCAGGCCAAGTTGTATATTCAGGGGCGAGCCCGGAACTTCCCTGACGACCGCACCAAGGTGCACTTTTTGATCAGTTTGTTAAAGGACCAGGCGGCCAAGTGGGCTTTGCCACTGCTCCGGCAAGACTCTCCTTTGCTAATGGACTATGTGGGGTTTTGTAACCACTTAGAGACTGTGTTTGGCAATCCTCTGAAGGAGAGCCAAGCCAATCGGGCAAATCGTCAGTTGAGACAGGACAAGTCCACAGCCGCCGCCTACGCCACAGAATTTCGGCTGTTGGCACAAGACTTGTCTTGGAATGACTCTGCACTTCGGGACCAGTATCTTGAGGGACTGTCGGACGAGATACTGGACCAGTTGGCCATGATGGATCGTCCCACCACGCTGGACGCCCTCATTCAGCGGAGCCTGCAGATAGACGATCGGTTGGAGGACCGTTGCCAGGCCCGGGACCGCCAGCACTCCCGGCTCCTGGCGCCAGTCCTTCCCAGCAGGTCCACGCCCACAGCCGAGTTGCCAGACGAGCCAACACAGCTCGGGGCTGCGCGACCTCGCCTCTCCCCCTCGGAGAAGACGCGGCGTCGGGAGGGGAACCTGTGTCTTTACTGCGGTGGGAGTGGACATTACGCCCGTTCCTGTCCCGAGAAGATGCCAGTCACAGGGAAACCGCCAACCTCGGTAGCCGAAGGCCCTAGCAACCTGGGGTCCCAAACCATGCAAGAGGGGCCCTCACCAGTGGAATTGCGACATCTCATGGTTCCGGTGCGTCTCTACCCTCCAGGTGGGCCCTGGATTCTTACCCACGCTCTGGTAGATTCAGGGGCAACCCGCTCCTATATGGACGCTGCCTTTGCCGCTCGTCATCAGGTGCCACTTCAGAACAAGCCAGAACCGGTACAGGTGGAGGCAATTGACGGGCGGTTCCTGCGTTCGGGTGCCGTCACTCGGGAGACCCAGCCCTTGGTCCTGTGTCTCCAGCAGCACCGGGAGGTGCGAACTTTGGACATTGCCTCCATGCCCCGGTTCCCCCTGGTGCTCGGAATGGACTGGCTGGAGGCTCACAATGTTCAGATTGACTGGGTCAATCGGACTGTGCACTTCCCAGACCCATGTCCCCATGCTCGGTCCGAGATGCTAGCGGCCGCACCCACTGAGGAGGCTGCATCCACGCTCCCCGCCGAGTACCAGGACTACCAAGATGTGTTCGAGGAACGGGGGGCAGACCAGCTGCCGCCGCATCGGTCCTTTGACTGCAGCATAGACCTCCAGCCTGGAGCGCCCCTACCGGTGAGTCGCTTATACTCTCTAACAGAGCCAGAGCGCGAAGCTTTGCAGGACTTCCTGCGCAAGAACCTGGAGCGTGGTTTCATTAGGCCTTCTACCTCGCCCACCGCTGCGCCTGTACTCTTCGTTAAGAAGAAATGTGGGGAGCTTCGCCTATGCCATGATTACCGGGCCCTGAACAAAATTACCATCCCAGACCGATACCCTTTGCCCCTTATTTCAGAGTTGCTGGAGCGGGTGTAAGGGGCGCAGGTGTTCCCCAAGCTAGACCTCCGGGGGGCCTACAATCTAATTCAGATCCGAGCCGGGGATGAGTGGAAGACAGCGTTCGGGACCCGGTACGGGCAGTTTGAATACCTGGTCATGCCCTTCGGATTGTGCAACGCGCCCGCTGTGTTCCAACGGTACATCAACCACGTGTTCCAGGACTTGCTAGACAAGTACGTGGTGGTGTACTTGGATGATATTAAGAGAGTCTGTGTACTGGTCCAGTAAACGCTTCCGCTGCGCCACCAGCAACAGTTCTCTTTGCAGAGCATTAATTAAGTCCAGTGCAGAGATTCTTGTTGCAGTACAAGCTTCAAAGTCTCAGCAGCAAGGAAATAACGACACAGGGAAGCCTGTCTTTCCAAAGACAGGTTTATTGCAGAAAGATAACAGAAACACCTCCGGAGCTTTCAGACATTTTTGCTTCACGCCCCCACAGGCAGAGAAAACAAACACTCTTTATATACTGAGCAACTTAACAACTTAACGAGCTTTACTACTTAAAGTCACATGACATTGCTAACTTGCCAGCGTCTTAGGTTTCACACCCTAACAGATATTTTGGTTTTCTCCCGTGACCCGGCTCACCACGAGGGTCATGTTCGGACCGTGCTGCAGCGTTTGCGGGAGCACCGCCTGTATGCAAAGCTCAGCAAGTGCGAGTTCCATCAGTGGTCAGTGGACTTCCTTGGTCACCGACTCTCTCCAGATGGGGTGCAGATGGATCCTGGGAAGGTGGCAGCGGTTCGGGAATGGGCGGCACCTCGGAACCGCAAGGACCTACAGCGTTTCCTTGGGTTCGCCAACTATTACCGGACCTTCATTGCTGATTATGCTCATCGCACCACCCCGTTGACCCGACTACTGCGCCCCAAGACGCCGTTTTCCTGGGACAAGGAGGCAGAGGATGCGTTTCAGGGACTGAAGGCCTGTTTCCAGAGAGCACCGATCTTGCAACATCCTGATCCCTCTCGACCCTTTGTGGTAGAGACCGACGCCTCCAGTACGGCTCTCGGTGCCGTCTTGTCTCAGCAGTACGGACCTGATGTGCCACTCTTACCCTGTGCCTTCTATTCCCACCAGCTTCTTCCAGTGGAGCGTAACTATACTGTATGGGAGCGGGAACTACTGGCCATCAAGGTGGCCTTTGAGGACTGGCGCCACCATCTTGAGGGGGCACGACACCCGGAGGAGGTGAGAACCGACCACCGGAACCTGGAGTACCTCCAGACCACCCGCAAGCTGAACCAAAGGCAGATCCGGTGGGCGTTGTTCTTTTCCCGGTTCCAGTTCCGGATCCGCTACATCCCTAGCTCCCAAAACCAGAAGGCGGATGCCCTGTCCCGGAAACCTGAAGACAATGCAGACACGGTACAGCAGGCAGTACCCACCACGATCCTACCACCGGCTGCATTCCTGGCCACCCAGGAGGCGGAGCCACTGCAGGGTCGGGTGCGGGAACAGCAGCGGGTCAACGCTTGGGCCCAGGAACGACTCCGGGAACTGGCCGAAGGGTCATGCCCTCAGTACCCGGGGCTGGTCTTGCATCAGGGCCTTCTGCTGCACCACGGTCGCCTGTACATCCCGCCAGGGCCACTGCGGGCTGAGGTTCTCCGGATGACCCATGATGCTCCAGCAGCGGGGCACTTTGGGCGGTATCGGACCACCCATCTGGTAAGCCGTGAGTTTTGGTGGCCCCGCCTGAAGGCTGATGTGGCTCGCTACGTCGCTGGTTGTGATGTCTGCCGGCGGGTCAAGGGCCCTACCGGGCGACCCCCCGGCCTACTTCAGCCATTGCCAGTCCCACCACATCCTGGGCACATGGTTTAGCTGGACATTGTAGTGGACTTGCCCCCATCTCGTGGCTGTACCTGCCTTCTAGTTTTCTCCAACCATTTCACTAAGATGGTGCACTGTGCCCCCT